GGAAGTAAGTCCGTTGCTGCAGCTGTTTAAACAGAGTAGTGTTCCTGAAGACGTGAGCGTCATGAACCCTTCCCAGCCAGCCCACGTTGATGTTGGTGAAACGTCCCTTGTGATCCACCAGTGCTTGCAGCACCATTGAAAAGTACCCCTTGCGGTTTATGTACTGGGTACCCTGGTGCTCCGGTGCCAAGATAGGGATATGAGTTCCATCTATTGCCCCACCACAGTTAGGGAATCCCATTGCAGCAAAGCCATCCACTATGACCTGCACATTTCCCAGAGTCACTACCTTTGGTAGCAGCAGCTCAGTGATTGCTTTGGCTACTTGCATCACAGCAGCCCCCACAGTAGATTTGCCCACTCCAAATTGATTCCCGACTGACCGGTAGCTGTCTGGCGTTACAAGCTTCCACAGGGCTATCGCAACTCGCTTCTCATCTGTAAGGGCTGCTCTCATCTTGGTATTCTGGCGTTTCAGGGCAGGGGAAAGCAAGTCACAAAGTTCCATGAAAGTGCCCTTACGCATGCGAAAGTTTCGCAGCCACTGGGAATCATCCCACACCTGCAACACTATGTTGTCCCACCAGTCTGTGCTTGTTTCCCAGGCCCAGAATCGGCGTTCCCTGGATAGAACCTGCCCCATCAACAACATGATCTCCAAAGCGCCGGGGCCCGCGGTTTGAGAGAATTCTGTGTCCGTGTCCATGTCCTCATCACTCTCGTCGCCACACTGCCGTCGCCGCCTCCTCCTTGCCTCGTTTTTCTGTTCCTGATTCAGCATAAACTGCACAATAATGCGTGAGGTGTTTACAATGTTCATGACTGCTGTCTTGAGCTGAGCGGGCTCCATGCTTGCCGTGGTATGGCATCTGCAGTGTTCACCCAGGAAAAAAGGCGCGAAACGGTTGTCTGCCGTTGCTTTCATGGAGGGAGGGGTAAGGCTGTACCCAGAACCACCTGCGACAATATTTTTTGCCCCATCAGGCACTGGGATCTCAACCCAGAATTCCAATGGGCGGGGGAGACTGCGGGAACTAGGGGATAGCTATGGGATAACTACCCACAGTGCAACGTTCCGGAAATCAACGCTAGTCCCGGTACATGGACGCACACCGCCGAATTAATGTGCTTAGTATGGCCGCATACATTCGACTTTATACAATCTGTTTCCAAAATTCGAATTCAGTAAATTCGGATTAATCCTGTACTGTAGACATACCCTAAGACTGCCAATCTAAAACTGAACCCAAAGAAATGTGAGGTGTTCCAAAAAGAAAGGAACTTACCTTGGATATACAATCTAAATTTCCACCACTAAAAAGAAAACAGAGACTGTGCATAATGGTCAACCCGTCAGCACTCACAGACAGGCAGAGTTTTGTAGGCCACTCTTCCTATTACAGAACAGTGGTTCTCAACTGGGGTACATGTACCCCCAAGGGTACACAGGGGTACATCAATTCATGTAGATATTTGCCTAGTTTTACAGCAGACTAATAAAAAGCACTAGTGAAGTCAGTACAAACTAAAATTTTCATAGAATGATTTGTTTATATTGTTCTATATACTATACACTGAAATGTAAGTACAATATTTATATTCCAATTGATTTATTTTATTATTTTATAATTTCAGGTGGTTGAAAGCAACAGATGTCTGATGAAGTGGGTATTCACCCACGAAAACTTATGCTCCAATACATCTGTTAGTCTTAAAAGTACCTCAGGACTCTCTGTTGCTTTTTACAGATCCAGACTAACACAGCTACCCCTCTGATACTTGAGGTGGTTGAAAGGAGATCAGGCTGGGGAAAAACCCAAGTGGATTTGGGTGGGAGTAAAATCATTTTGGGGTGGTGATGTGAAAAAATCTTGACAGAAAAACAATTGGTAATTATGTAAATAGTCAGGTTTGTATACATTTTAATTAGTTACCTTTATCTTCTTTCTGTCTGTCTGACATGAGTCATTCAGAATGTCATCTTTTTAATGGTATTAAAGGTTGCCATTGAGTGGGCTTTTGATCTATAAACAGTCATAGATCTGGCCAATGGCTGTGCTAAGCACTGAACTTTCAGACGAAATGGAAGGAGCAATTATGCCTCTATATGTAGTGAGCTAGCTGGAAACAAAGTCTGACAGGAAGCTAAACTCTGATGGCTGAGGGATTCCCTGGTTGCAAATGCAGGATTAGTGTGTGTTAGAAGCAGAAAAAACAGAAAAGCCAGTAGAACAGGAGAGAAGCAGTTCTAAGGGCTTGTCTACACTACAAAATTAAGTCGACTTTATCTAATTCGACCTCGAGCCTCCGAATTAATTAAGTCGATTGTGCGTGAACATAGCATGCTTGTTGTCTTGATGGAGTGCATCCTCACTAGCAGTGCCTGCATCGATGCACAAAGCAGTGCATCATGGGTAGCTATCCCAAAGTGCAACTTGCCACAGTGTGTTTTGGGAAGTTTGTGCAATGCGTCATGGGACCAAAACATTGTCGCAGGGGAGAATGGGAACATTCTGTAGGCATCCCATGATGCACTGTGCTCCCCCTCCCCCCCATATCAATGGCAAACAAGCCAGTGGTTTTCATGCCTTAAAACTGCTGCGCGTACGCCATAGCCCCAGAAGCATGGAGCCTGCTCAGTTGTGCACTCTTGCTGTGAGCATCTCAAACGCCTCACGCCTTCTCCTGCAATATTTCCAGAGCCGAAGTGGGGTCCGCCGTGTGGAATATAGCAATGTCCTGCAAGCAGCCCTGCTGCAAGCCATTTAAAAAAACAATTCACAGTTGCTGCTGGCAGTCACAGAGCAGCTGCACTCTGTTGAGCACCATTTCTGGTCCCATGAAACAAGCACTGACTGGTGGGACCACATCGTTTTGCAGGTATAGGATGATGAGCAGTGGGTGCAGAACTTTCAAATGCAGAAGGCCACCTTCCAGGAACTTTGTGCAGAGCTTTCCCCTGCCCTGCAGTTCACCAACACAAAAATGAGAGCTGCTCTGACAATGGAGAAGCGAATAGCAATCGCTATTTGGATGCTTGCAATGCCAGACAGTTACCGGTCAGTGAGGAATCAATTTGGAGTAGGTAAATCAACTGTGGGAGCTGCTGTGCTCCAACTGTGCAGGGCCATTAATCGACTTCTGCTACGAAGGGTAGTGAGTCTGGGAAATGTGCAGGACATAGTGGGTGGTTTTGTTGCGATGGGGTTCCCTAATTGTGGTAGGGCGATAGATGGCACACATATCCCCATCTTGGCACCAGACCACCTTGCCAAAGAGTACATAAACTGAAAGGGATACTCTTCAACGGTGTTGCAAGTACTGGTGCATCACAGGGGGCATTTCACCAATATCAATGTAGGATGGCCAGAAAAGGTTTATGACGTGCGCATCTTTAGGGACTCGGGTCTGTTCAAAAAACTGCAATCTGGGACTTTCTTTCCAGACCACAAAATGAACATTGACGATGTTGAGATAATGATAGTTATCCTGGGGGACCCAGCCTACACCTTGCTCCCATTGCTCATGAAGCCCAACACTGGCTGTGTGGACAGCAGTAAGGAACGGTTAAACTATAGGCTCAGCAAGTGCAGAATGGTGGTTGAATGTGCCTTTGGTTGTTTAAAGGGGCGCTGAAGAAGTTTACTAACAAAGTTGGACCTTAGTAAAGAGAACATCCTCATGGTTATAGCTGCCTGCTGTCTGCTCCATAATATCTGTGGGAAAAAAGGGGGGAAATTTTCCACAGGGGTGAGCAGGTGAGACAGATTGCATGGCAACCATTTTTGAGCAGCCAGACACCAGGGTAATAAGAAGAGCACAGCAAGGGTCGCTGCGTATCCGCGAGGCTTTGAAAAGCCATTTCAATAATGAGTCACAATAATGTGAGCTGCTTGTCTGCACTGTGCTTTCCCAAACCTTGACGTGGCTTGTATCACTGTCCCTGTAAAGCCCAAGCCCACTGCTTCTACTCAGTAAAGAACATTTATTTCTCGAATCCCTTTACTTTATTTAACAAACATAAGTAAAGAGAGAGAACAGAAAAAAAAGGTAATCTTGAGGAAAAGGGGTTGTAAAGTTGGAATGGGAGAAACATTTCCAGCTGTGTAACATAACACCGCATTCCAGACCATCAAAGGTCTGTGAATGGGTGCCTTCTGTTCCTGGTACCCTCCCGCTGAGTTAAGTGAAAGGGATAATGGACTTTTTGCCCATGCCTCAGGGAACGCTGGGGTAAGGGTGATTCTGTGCCAGGCAATGCTGGCTGGCTGTCTACCAGGATCTGCAGAGGGACTCTACCCTCCTGCTTCTGTTCCTGCAGTTCAACCAGATGCTTCAACATGTCTGCTTGATCCCTCATAATCCGAAGCATCTTATCCTGCACCGCTTGCTCTTGCTCATTGGAAGCTTTCCTGCTCTCCATGGCCATTTCTAACTTCTCAGACAGTGAAATCCTCCATGCTCTCAGCTCTGTGTCAGCTGTCCCAGAGGCGTTCATTATCTCGGTGAACATGTCCTCCCACGTTCTTTCTCCTCCTAATCAGCGAAAGTCTGCTTTCAGGTGTTGATGACACGCCGAAGGACACATTTCCAGCTGTCAGTCATGGGAAAAAATAAAGGAGCCATTGTACATGAATAAAATGTTTCCATAGCAAGGCCATTTTCATAAAACAAACAAACAAACAACCTTTATTACACTAGGTGTAAGCCATAACATAATCAGAATCCGTAACCATTCACTGTGATGTTTTGCTACTCCAGCCCTGGTGAAAGCCCCCCCCTCCCCCCCCCGGGGTCATGGGTGAGTGCACTTTTAATGAGATTTATGGCAGGCTCATGTCGGAAGCAGAGGTAGCTAGTCGAACAATGGCCCTTCCCCATAGCACCATGGGAAGCTGTTTATGAATGGGGCTGGGGGGGATGTTTTCACTCCCAAATTGCGGAATCTCTCATGTGGGGGCCCAGTTCCCTATCAGCCACTTTAAACTACTTGCCAACCCATGCCGAGCACAGTAAAGACACATTAGCAGCCGCGTGATTTGGTGATCCGGAATGTGGAGGGGTGGGGTGGGTCTACATGTCCTTTTTTTTCTTGCAAGAGCACTTTTAATGATTATCAGAGGGGTAGCTGTGTTAGCCTGTAAAAAGCAACAAAAAGTCCTGTGGCACCTTAAAGACTAACAGATGTATTGAAGCATAAGCTTTCGTGGGTGAATGGCCACTTCGTCAGACGCATGGGACTTTTAATGAGAACTTCCCCCGTTTCCCCTAGGTGACTCTATGTGATATCAGTCTCCTGAGGGTAACAGAGGTGGAAAGGAAGGAGATGCTGCAAGTGTTTGAGTATAGACCCAGTCCTTACGATGCTATGCTGTGTACCGCAAGGATGCCAGCAGAATTAATTCAGGAGTTGCGTGGGAAAGTGTCCTACCATGGTGGAAGAAATAAGACTGCCCTGTCCAGAAACCTTCTGCAAAGGATTGCAGAGTACCTCCATGGAAGTTTCTTAGAGATATCCATGGAGGATTCCCAGGCTATCCCAGTCCACATAAACAGTCTTTTCCAGGGGCCACCCTCTGCGTATCTGGAGTGGCCTGTTGTAAGCAAAGAACCACAGCACCTCACTTTTGGTGTCATGTCCTACAACCCACAGGGCTCCAGGGTTAAAAATATTTCCTGGCTCTCGGGGAGAATGGATCCACTCTCACCTGTTTCCCATTTTCCTCCTCCTCCTCTTCCTCATCCACCATATCGTCCTCCTTGTTGTCCCTAGACTCACACAGCTGTGAGATGTCCACTTTGCTTGTCGGGGTGCTGGTAGAGAATTGCATGCAGCTTATTGTAGAACCGGCATGTGTGGGGTCGAGCACCAGAATGACTGTTTGCCTCCCTTGCCTTCTGGTAAACTTGGTGAAGTTCTTTTATTTTCACAGGGCACTGCTGTGTGTCCCTCGTGTAGCCCTTCTCCCCCATTCCACAAGCAATCTTTGCATAGATGTCAGCATTTCTTCTGCTGGATCGGAGCTCTGCCTGCACAGACTTCTCCCCACACAGCGATGAGATCCACCACCTCCTGTTCAGACCAGGCTGGAGCACGTTTGGAGCGTGTAGTCTCCATGATCAGCTGTGCTCAAGCTGGCATGCTCCCAATGCTGATCAAACAGGAAATGGGAAATCAAAAA